TTATAGTACAATTGCTTGTAAAAATCCATGTATTAAAGGAAATATAAGAATACTCAGTGGGCATTTTATCTTAGATAATGAGTATCTTGATGTTAACGTATTCTTAATAATGATACAAATGTCTTTATTATTAGCATCGTTATCTTCCTACAAACAGTATTTTATAATGTCTCATTATATCTGTCGATTAGCAGTGCCAGTTTAAACACTCAAATTAATTTAATCCATTGGATTCAAACCCAGTTGCAATATAGTTTCTCATTTGCACAGGGTGATCATATTTAACTAGAGGCCTTATTATGAACCTGAGTACCTACCACAGGACAAGTGATAACAAAATCAATTCCTAAAGTTGTTACATTGAACCTTACGTAAGCTTATCAGTCCCATCCAAGGATTTACAAATAATTTTAGAATTGCTTTAATTTACTTATTTTAAGTTTTGTAAGCATTAGAAACATACTTAGAATAAAAGTATTCTAGGAGTAGTGACATTTTGAAGTCACCATGAAAGTAGGCAGTTCTTAACATACGAAGTCGTCAATACTATAGGAATGTTTGAGGTCTCATTGCTATTCTTTGAATTCTCTATTTATCTGAGCCTGTGGTTGTGATCCATAAGGAATGCTTTTAAAAATAAGAAGGCCAAGGGCAATAATAGCTACTGATCAATAGCTCCTTATCAAGGCAAACGTAAGATTATTTTTGAAAACCTGTCTGTTTAAGCAACTATTGTATATTTGTTTTACTCTAGTGATTCTAAAAACAACACTGACCACTCATGGACTTCTTATCAGTTTTTGACCCCAGGATTTAGACCAAGTTGTATAACACATAGAAAATATAGTAGAACCTTCAGTTGACTACTTCCCTACATTGACCACCTCCTGAAGTAGATCTAATTTTCATAGACCGGATATGTACCATATGTATATATCAGTACAGTAGGCCTAGTTCTTTATGTTCACCACCTCCATTTGTTTACTAGTTTCTTACAGCCCCTTACAGAGGTTCTACTGTATATGAAGATTCAAAAAATAAAACTGTGAACTATAGATATTACAGATATCTATTCTTAATTTTTAACAATTTGTTTATTTGAAAGGGGCAGAGGTTACATTATATTTTGGTGAAAAAATCCAAAAAATTAAGTTATACCAAATGAGCATTATCTACATGTAGATTAGTAAGAATCTTGCTATTTTTCAGAATAATTTTAATATATTCTTCATTCAATAGCATTTTCATCCTGAATGCACTTAATTGTCTTCCATAGTAGAGTTTAAGGCATATTAAGAGACTAGGGGCTCGGAGCCTGTGGCTCAAGTGGCTAAGGCGCCAACCACATACACCCGGGGTGGT